CATCGTGAGGGGTATCCTGGGCTGGTTCCTGGCTCTCCCCCCTGTCCCAACCATCAGCAAACCACCTGGTCCTCTCGCTCCGGAGTTTTTGTGCAAAACTGGCCACGGCTCCCCACCCCTTCCCCCAGAGGATACAATGCTCACAGATGTAACATGAGTCAAAAGAGGAAAGACAGGCAGGGGGAGAAAAAAAAAAAACCAAAAAAAACCAACAACAACCCAACCCAATGCACTGTACAATGTCCTCCAATTTTCCTTCTCGTACCAATTACTGTAAAATCTATTTACAGAGCCTTAATTACCAAAGGCAGCTGGATGGAGGGGGGAGGGGTTGTGGGGGGGATATAAACCAATTAAAAATATATTGACATTTGAATATCATAATGGAGTCCGTGGGTGGATGCTGCCTCGACTCCCGCCCACAAGAAAAAAAGGACTTTTTTTTGCTTTTCCATATCCACCCACGCTCATTACAGGCAACTTTGGAAGGATGAGACTGGATACCTGTGCCTGGGAAATCAAGTCCCCGACACACATCTCGTTAGAGAGCCTTCAGTGCCCACAGGTGTTAATTTGATTCTGTTCTAGTTCCCAAATTAAAAGTTACAGGGTTTAATTCCTCTGCTCTCCCCCAGCTGCATCCGCAGCTCGGCTCCGCCGCTCTGCCCGTGCCCGGTTCCTGCGGCCCCGGGAATGCCAAGCACGGGGCTGGATTTGGCCCCTGGAAAATAACAGGTTCTGTCCTTTTGGGATTAAAAGAATCATGGAAGGGACCTTAAAGGCTGTATAGTTCCAGCTCCCTGCCGTGGGCAGGGACACCAGGCCGGGTTGGACGGGGCTGGGAGCAACCTGGGCTAGTGAAAGGCATCCCTGCCCATGGCAGGGGGTGGGATGAGATGGGCTTTAAGGTCCCTTCCCACCCAAACTATCCCACGAGTCTACGAAACCCAGAAGAAACCCAAACTTCAGAAGCTCATCAGCCCAAAGGTCCTTCCTGCTCCCGAGCCAAAAGCTCCACGTCCCTCCGTGGGCAGAGAGCACAATTTTCAGGTCAAGCAGCAAAGCAGGAACGGGACCAGCCCCATAACCTCCCAGGTTTTGGAAAGACAACAGCGTCCTCCAATGTATTTCATCACCGGTTGCATTGGAAATAGCCTTGCTGGACACAAGTGGTGGGGATTTTAGGGCAGGAGCTGCCTCCTCAAGGATGGTTTTCCCTGGTTGGGTGTCTCAGCACGTCCCTGAGCAGCCCAGCTGGACACAGAGCGGAGGCAACCGCAATTCCAAACACGATCTCCCTCTGAACCCGTCGCTCCCTATCTTCTGCAAGAGCTTGGCTGCAGTCAAATGTGAATTTGCTGAAGATTAGGATCCAAGCACTCAAACCTCTACTTGGAAATCAGCGATAAAACCCTTTGGGTTTCTGCAACCGGAATTAAAGGGTGCAAAGTAACAACAGGCATAAACTCTCCTTCCACCACAAGTGTGTTTTTCTGCACATGAACCTGAGCAGTTTTAAGCTCTGCTGAACAACAGCCACCTCCACGACCTGCCTGCACACAAAGGAGTTCCCCCAGCCCTCCCCATTCCCTGGCAAAGGCTTGTTTTCCCCCAGAGAAACCCATTACAGTGAGTTGCTCATGGCCTGAATTGGTCCCAAATTGACATTGTAAATGCCTTGAGTGGATTAGCTCTGGGACCGGGCTTGATTTCGGCCCTAAAGTGAGTTAAGATCAGCTGTTTTCCTGGCAAAGGGTTGTTTAGAGGAAAATCCTCAAATTTCTTCCTATCTGAGCTGCTGAGATAACCCCGAGAGTGGAGCCTGCAGCTCTTGACTGATGAGATTCCCATCTCTCCACTTCATTTCCAGAGGGATGGCATTAAAGGAGGCAGCGGATGGATCCAGCACGAGCCCCGGCACAAGGACAGCGGCCACAGCTCAGCGGAGAGGTGGTGGCACCACTGCTTCTCAGGACCTGGGAGAGCCTCCCAGGCAGCCCAGGTGCTTCTCTCCTCCCCTCGATGAATAACCGCTCCGAACTGATTCAACCAGCGACCGCTGCGCCGGCACAGCGGAGTTTTCTTGCCGGATAAGGAGCTGCCAGCACAGAGATAAAGGCCGGTTGATACCTATTATGCAGCACCTGAGCCCATTCAGCCACCACCTGCAGAACCTTTTCACGGCAGAGCCCAACAATTTCGCTTCCCCTTGTTCCCCGCCTGCCGTTCCATCGCTCCCCATTCGGGCGCGAGCGGCGGGAACAAAGCGCGGGGCACGGGAATCGTCTCTCCCGCCTTCCCACTGGGAGAGCTCTGCGCTCCACGGGGGCATTGAGGCACCACCGGCAGGCTGAGGATGGCAGGGCCGCAGACCACCCACGCTCGGCGCCGCAGACAAAGGCAGGCGATTTGCATCGCGAGGCGGATGGCGGTTCATTCACCGCTGAAGAGCGCGCTCGCGAAGGAACGCTCGTGCTCTCCTCCTGAACTTCTCCGTCCCACCTGTCGGCAGAGCAGGCGGGTTGATGGCACGTGCCCGGTGCCGTGCGCTGATCAAACCCCATCCAGAGCTGAGGGGCAGCAGGGACAGCCTGTCCAGGCGGCTCAGGGAGATGCAAAGGTCCTGGTCCACCGCGACCCACGGCACAGGCACGGCCCGCAGCCCTCCCCGGCCCCATCCCGCTGCAGATGCAACTCTCTACTCAAAATGAGTTTCTGAAGTGTTCAGCCAAGCAAGCCAAATCCCAAATTGCTTTATAAACACTCTGCATTTCCCAACGTGGGCTGAAGGCATCAGCAACGGGAGCAAAGCCAAAGGCGACTCGCAGAGGAACAATCCGGGAGGGATGAGCGAGGAGGAGCTGGAGTGCTGCCTCTTGGTGTTCTTGCTGTTCGGCATGAACACAGCCCCATCCATCTTCCATCCACTGGGGATGCAACATTCCATCCCTGCTCTGCAACACCGATGGCCATCACCTCTGCACTGGCGGCCAACACCCCTACATTGATGACCATCACCTCTACAGTGGTGGCCATCATCTCTGCACTAAAGGCCATCACCTGTCCACTGGTGGCCATCACCTCTACACTGCTGGTCATTGCCTCTACATTGCTGGCCATCATCTCTACCCTAATGGCTACCACTGCTACACTGGTGGCCACCACCTCTCCATCGGTGGTCATCGCCTCTACAGTGGTGGTCACCACCTTTAAAATGATGGCCATCGACTCTACATTGATGGCCAACACCTCTATACTAATGGCCACCACCACTGGTGCCCATCACCTCTCCACTAGTGGCCGTCACCTCTACATTGGTGGCCACCACCTCTGCATTGATGGCCATCACCTCCACATTGATGGCCATTGCTTCTACACTGGTGGCCACCACCTCTACACTGGTGGCCACCACCGCTACACTGACAGCCATGGTCTCTACCCTGGTGCCCATCATCTCTACCCTGGTGGCCAACATGTCTACACTGGTGGCCACCACCCTGACATTGCTGGCCAGCATTTCCCCAGGGTTGCAGCCCCAGCCTGGCCTGGAGCAGGGATCCTGGCCTGGAGCAGGGATCCCTCTCGAGCTGACGGAAGGGCTGGCTGCCGTTGTTCCCTAGTGCTCTGGGCTTTCCTTCCCCCTGTGCCACCACCCCCAGAAACACCTGTGAGATCCACCAGGCTCATTGGAACCCCCCAAAGTGACAAATGCCAGAGCTTGGGAAGCTCATTACTTGCCCGCCTATGGATTTATGGGGAGCCAGCTCCGATTCCATGGTGATAGCCAGCACTAAACACCCAGGGGAGACAAGGGGGGAGGGAGGGGGGGAATTAATAAGAAGTGCTTTAATATAAAAATGCCTCTGCTGGCAGGTTACGTCTGTGCTGGAGGAAAGACAGAGTCAAGGAGGGGCTGCCTGGATGCTTCCACACTTGCCGCCAGTTCACTCATTTTTAGTATTTCACAGAGGAAAAAAAAAGGGAACCTTTGGGAAATATTGAGAAAGATACAGCAACAGGAACCACTGAGCTGGGACTTATTTAATTTCCTTGGAGCAGGACTAGCCGTGGCAGAGAGGGAAAAAAGAAATACTGAGTGTATCTGCCCGTTCCTGACTTATTTGGGAAGTTTTCAAGCTCTTCCCCTATACTGGCTTGTTTTTCTCTCCTGGAGGGGTCTGGCAGTTGTGCTTTTGCAACTCGACAGCTCCCGGTGCGGTTCCCAAAATGGGAAATCAAACACAGCTGGGAGAGCAGCAAGAAGGGAGAGCTTTGGGGTGATTTTTATCCCTAGGCTTTGTTCTCCTCTTAAGTTGATAGGGAATCTCACCCTCCCTGCCATGCTGGAGCAGTGGCACCACCCAGCTGCAGCTCCCCAGACCCTCTGCATCCAAACACCCCCCAGGGACACCGGGATCCCCCCAGCATGAGCTGCAAGGAGCTTGCTGGGTCTCAGTCTAAGGACAGAGATGTCTCCAGGTTCCCCTGTCCCCTGAGGGATGCTCAGCACTGGTTTCACTGGGATCCACCACCAAAATCTCCAGGTGAAGTGAAGCAGGTCTCGTCTGAGCCACACATATGCAGCATTCCGAGGTTTAGTGTGGGAATGTTGCAGCCCCAGGACAACAACTGTCCTTTCCTTTCCATCCCAAGCAGGGACTTGCCTTTCCCCCTGTTCCTCTTGCTTCAAACAAAGGCAATGTGCAGTTTCCTTCCTCCCCAGACCCTGAGAAGCACCATCCATTTACACTGGATCACGACCAAGGTGGGAAAATTAGGATATTAGGGAAAATGACTTCACTAAAAGAGTTGCCCTGCCCAGTTCAGGGGTGGAATCCCCATCCCTGGAGGATTTAAAAGCCATGTGGATGTGTCCCTTGGGGACATGGGTCAGTGGTGGCCTTGGCAGTGCTGGCTGGACTCCGTGATCTGAAGGATCTTTTCCAGCCCAAGGGTCGGACTTGATGATCTGAAGGATGATTTTCCCAACGATTCTGTGATTCTGTGAAAGCAGCAGCAACTCAGTGCCCCAAAATTCTTGGCCCAAACCTGCAGACACTGACGCTGAGTATCAACACCCACCAGAGCCCGGTCCCTCTGGGGTGAAAACACTCATCCCACCGAACTCCAGCTCCCAACTCAACCCATCCACAAGTCTCCCAAAGCAACCCCAATGGGAAAACAGGGAACTTGTCACCTGCCAGGAGCCTCTGCAGGGCAAAACCAGAGCGGGGAGACAGAAAAGCCCTGGGAGAGACTCCCCCTCATCCCATGCCTGCTATCTCCCGATGGGAGCACCAGCTTTGGACAGATATTACTTAGGCAGCAGAATTTTCCTGCCAGCAGCTGGCACGGGAGATAACTGCAGCCAGCACAGCCCAACCACGAGCGCTGCACAAGGAGGGGGAAGGGAGGAGGAGGAGGAGGAGGAGGAGGAGGAGGAGGGGGATCAGCCTCCCCGAAAAGTTGCTTTGATCCATCGTCGCTTCAGAAAAAAACAAGCTATTTAGGAAAAAGCCAACTGCAGGCATTTTTATTTGAGGGAGACGGTGGCAGAGGAGACAAGCTCTCCTGCAGCTGCAGGGAGGAGAGCTGGGAGACAGGTGAGGGCTGTGGCTTGGCTAAAGCCACCAGGAAATACTTGATGCTTCGGCTGCCACTTGGTGCCTTTGGAAAGGAATGCTCTTGGAATGGGCTCTGAGAGTTGCATGGGGATGTGCAAAGGCTCTTTGACCTCCTTGCCTTTGAAGGAGCCTTAAATATTCCCTCTGCCCTGATCCTCCTGCTATTTTGAACTATTTGAACTTCAGGAAGGAAAAGAAATTTAAAAAAAAACACCTTCTTTTGAAGAGGGGGATGAAGCAAATCTTTGGATTTGCGAGGACCCAACTCCACTTTGGAATAGTAATAATAATTATTATTAATAAAAAATGAATGGTGCTGTCATGGGAATGATTTGTTTCTTGGCTAGGCAGGATGCCAGCATGGGGTTCCTTCACAAGCAGCTCTTCCCAGCCACGAAGAGGATCCCGTGGATTGAGGGTGCTCCTGGTAGCAGGAGCAGGGAAGTGATTGTTGCCCTGCACTCAGCGCTGGTGAGGCTGCCCCTGGAGTGCTGTGTCCAGCTCTGAGCCCTCAGCTCAGGAAGGACATGGAGGGGCTGGAGCAGGGGCAGAGAAGAGCAGCGAGGCTGGTGAAGGGACTGGAGCACAATTCCCACGAGGAGAGGCTGAGGAAGCTGAGGGGGCTCAGCCTGGACAGGAGGAGGCTCAGGGGGGACCTCAGCACTCTCTGCAACTCCTGACAGGAGGGGGAGCCAGGTGGGGGTTGGTCTCTTCTCCAGGAACCAGCAGTAGGACAAGAGGGCTTGGCCTTGAGCTGTGCCAGGGGAGGTTTAGGTTGGATATTAGGAAGGAATTTTTTCCATGGAGAGTGATCAGGCTACCCAGGGAAGTGATGGATTCTCTGGGCCTGGAGGTGTTTGAGCAGAGCCTGGATGTGGCATCAGTGCCATGGGCTGGGAACCACGGCAGGGTTGGATCAAGGGTTGGACTGGATGATCTCAGAGGCCTTTTCCAACCCGGTCAATTCTACGATTCCATGATTCTATGATCCCATGATTCTATGATCCCCTTCGCTCAGGATACTCCAGTCTCCTCCCCGGCCCATCCCATCCCTCTCCACAAGCTGCCAAAAGCCACGCTGTCTGCAGCTGGAAGATATATACCCACTTAATGTATATATTAATACACATATTGACTTTCCTGCTGTCGGTCGTTATCAAGATTTATCCAGCCTGATGGCCTCCTATTGATTGGGTGGGAGTGTATTCCCACGGGTCAATCAATTCTGATCCAGCCTCTGGCATGAAGTCGATACCTATTTATTCCATGATCTACGAGCCCCATTATTTAACTGCCAGCAGAGGGAACGCAGCAGAAAGTGAGAGAAGGGAAAAACAACTTGAGGATGATCCGGCTCCCAGAGCGGGTGCTGGGTTCTGCTCCCAAAATACACCCAGGAGTGGTGGGATCTGAAAGGCACCTCAAAAATGCTCTGGGATCATGGAGTGGTTTGGGCTGGGAGGGACCTGACAGATCATCTAGTTCCCAATCCCTTCCACCAGCCCAGGTTGCTCCAAACTGGCCTTGGACACTTCCAGGGATCCAGGGGCAGCCACAGCTTCTCTGGGCAACCTGGGCCAGGGCCTCCCCACCTTGCTAGGGAAGGATCCCTTCCCAATATCCCATCTGACCCTCTGGCAGTGGGAAGCCATTCCCCCTTGTCCTGTCCATGAGTGTTTCCAGGCTGGCACCGAGCAAAACAGCGTGCCAGCTCTGGGCCTCAGTTTCCCTCCCCCTCATCAGGATTTAGAGCTTCTACCTAACTTTCCAGGGCAGGAAAGGAGTCTGATAGGATGCACTTTAATGAGCTGCAGCAAGGAGAAAAATCCAGTTTCACAGAATCCCAGAATGGTTTGGGTTGGGAGGGACCTTCAAGACCCTCTTTTTCCAACCCCCTGCCATGGGCAGGGATGCCACTCTCCAGGTCAGGTTGCTCAGGGCTCCATCCAACCTGGCCTTGTTCTGCCTTCAGTTTGTTGTCCATCAAAAGCTCAAATGGACAACATGGATCCCTGGAGAGGGCTGGCTGCAAGCACCAGCCACTGGTGCTTGCACAGCCACGGAGCATCCCCCGGGAAAATCCAAGCCCCCCAGTCTGTTCTGTCCTAAGTGTGAGGATTTACACCTTCCCCTCTCCTCCCACCCTTCAAATCATGGTGAATACTCACCCCCCCTCAGCCCCCAGCTCCCTGAGTATCAAGATTTACAAGCCCCAAATCCTGGGACACTGTAAATGTCAGGAGGTTTGGCACTGGGAGAGGTTTGGAAGAGCTGAGGGTTTAAAGCTGAGCTTTGTCCAGAGCTCTTCCACACCCACAGGGAGCAGGGTCCAGGGATGGGAGAGCATCCTTGTGAGGAGCTGGGCTTGTTCCTCCAGGCAGCAGAGCCAAGCACCAGATATTGCCAAAATCCAGCATAGAAATAAACGATAAAATCAAAATAACCCCCCCAATATTTAGCCCATGTGGTGCAAAAAAGTTATCCAGGAAAATATCTTGGATATTCTTTCCATCCCTTGCTCTCACACCTTCCCTATTAATTAGTGCCAGGTAATTTGTTCCCCGTTATCAAAGCCAGTTTGCCACAGAGAATAAAACAAACCAACAAACTCTCATTTCATCTCATAAGGAGAGGGACTAGGTTTGTGTTCCCCCCCTTGCCCACCAGCTCCAGGGAAGGGCTTGGGAGATGCTCCCTCTCCAGCAGAAATACTCCAAGTTCCTCTGCTGAGAGGCACCTTCAACGAGTTAATTCCCTTTCTGTGGTTCTGCCAAGGTCAAGCTTAATTCCTAATGTTCTTCACCGTTCTCCTTGCTCTGCCTGGCACATCATAGCAGGGACATAAATCACAGTCAGGCAGCCCCGGTGGCATCGCCAGTGGCCATCAAGGTGGCTCCTGTAAAGCTGAAGTCGCTCTGGCATCCACACCACAACAAGAGAGGGGCCAAAACTCAACTGGAAACGCCCGAGGGAGCAAATCCCGGGCTCTTTGTGCAGACTCCGAGTGCCACGTTTGGGCTGTTAACTGAGAACCAAGTAATCTTAGCAAAGCTGCACCAACTCCACCCTCCCAAAGCAGAGGGAGCTCAAACTGCAGGCAAACGCCAGCCCCCAACCTCCTCTCCTGCCCTTCAGACCGGAAAACCTCGCTCCCATCTTCCAAACAATGTTCCCAACCAACAGGAGCCCCCGGTGACCCCGCAGGAGCCGCACCCAGCGTGTTGATCCCCCCACTTCCATTACGGACTTGATGAGAATTTGGAGCCTTGGATCAGTAAGCATTAAAATCCCCTTTGTTTCTTCCCCAGGAGCAACGCCCAGAATCCTAAAACACGGGTAATTCCTGCAATCCACCACCTTTGTGGGTATTAGAAAAGGGTTAGACTTTATCCTCTGAAGGACCCCTGAGTGGCTGAGGCTTTACCTCTAATCCCAGGCTGGGACCAGAAGTCCCAGAGGGCTGAGACAAGTTAGCCAGGCCTGGCTTTGTCTCACTGAACACCAACAAACCCAGCTGGTTATTTCCCTGTGAGCAGCAAGCAAAAGGGGTGTTTTTTGAGTCCTTTCATTTCCACCGAGCCGAGGACTTTGATGCTGTTCCGCTCCAGCCGCTCAGCAGCGCTCAGAGCACCAAGGCTCGCACTCCTCTTGCTCAAGACTAATTAAGATGAATGTTAACTGTCCCCACCGCTCATTACCCAAGAGAAAATCTATTAGTGGCTCTGATGGAAGCGTTGCTTGGAGCCACCACCTCCCAGTGCTGAAAAATGCTGGAATTTCTGCCTTTGCTGGCGACCCAGACTGTCACGTTCAGACACAGATCGAGAACCACGGACTGGTTTGGGCTGGGAGGGACCTTGAAGGCTGGAAGGGACCTCATCTCATTCCACTCCCTGCCATGGGCAGGGACACCTTCAGGTTGCTCCCAGCCCTGTCCAGCCTGGCCTTGGACACTTCCAGGGATCCAGGGGCAGCCACAGCTTCTCTGGGCAACCTGGGCCAGGTCAACAGCTCCTTCCCAATCTCCAATCTCTCCCTGCCCTCTGGCAGTGGGAAGCCATTCTCTGCATCCTGTCCCTGCATCCCTTGTCCCCAGTCCCTCTCCAGCTCTCCTGGAGCCCCTTTATGCCTTGGAAGGGTCTCTCAGGTCTCCCTGGAGCCTTCTCTTCTCCATCACACCCTCAGCAAATCCACTACCTCAGTTTCCACCGCCAGCTTTTCCCCCGTGGGATATGTCAGCTTTGGGAGGGGAGATTTCTTTCTGCTAATCAGACAATCCTTGAATATCACAAGCAATCAGGAAGGAAAATGTGGGGATGCGAAAAAAGCAAAAATAAACCCGTCTATAAATAACCCCCTTCCGGCAGCGCCGGGTGGCTCGACGTGGTGAAGCCCCTTCCAGGGACAGGCAGCTGCTCCCAGTGTGCCGGCAGGAAAACACAGATTTCTTTAACAGTTCCAAGAAATTGGGTTTGGTGGGAAAAAAAAAAAAACAAAAACACGGCCTCCAGCGACCACCTCTGGGCACCCAGAAGAAAAACGGGGCTGCACAGCCCAATCCTGCCCGGGGGAGGGGCACAGGGAGGAGTGGGTGAGGAATTCCAGACATCCTGGCTTTGTGCTGGGCAGCTGGGAATGGTTTTCCCCCACTCCAGGCAAAGCCTTGTTTAAAGTTATTTGCATAAAAACCCAGGGGGAGAACTTGAGTCCCTTTGGAAAATTCCTGTTTGAAGAGCCGATGCTCTGCACTGCTCGGGGTCACTGATCTCCCTCCCCACCCTGTGCCACATCCTGGGCCATTCCAGCATCCTGAATCGTTCCCAGGATCCTTGACCATTCCCAGTCCAGTGTTCAAGGCCAGGTTGGACGGGACTTGGAGCAACCTGGGCTAGTGGAAGGTGTCCCATGGCAGGAGGTGGCACTGGATGAACTCTAAGGTCCTTTCCAACCCAAACTGTATTATAATCCTATAATCCTATGAACCCTGGAAAATGGGAAGGATGAGACTGAGAGCTCCAAGGTGCCTCCTGGGGAATCACCAGCCCCATGGGAAGCTTCAAAGCAGGAAAACTGTGTCCAGAAATCAGCCCTGGTCTAAGGAACACACATTCATGCAGTCCCGGGCTTCCCAAAAGTTCTCTAAGACTGAGCTGAATCCCCTCCCAGCATCTCCTTTGGTTTTCCTGCATCTTCAGGACCAACCAGCACTAGTCACAAGCTGATTGTGCCCCAGAAATCCCAGCAGGGTAAAACCAAACAGTTCCAGTTGCAGTTGTAGAATTATCATGATCACAGAAATGGTTTGGGTTGGGAGGGACCTTTAGATGATCCCATTCCACCCCCTGCCATGGGCAGGGACAACTTCCACTAACTCAGGTTGCTCCAACCTGGCCTTGAACACTTCCAGGGATCCAGGGGCAGCCACAGCTCCTCTGGGCAACCTGTGCCAGGGCCTGCCCACCCTCACAGCCAGGAATTCCTGCCCAACATCCCACCTAATCTACTCATCCTTCATCTGCTGTCTCTCTCTGCTTCATCTTTTGAAGGATGTGGATCGAAATGGGTTGCTGGTTGTAGGCAAAGCCCAAGTGACGCCCGGAGACGCTCTGAGCTCGGGTTAAATTTTGGGCAATTCAATCAAATTGTACTTTGACCTTAAAAAAAAAAAAAGGGACCAAGTGCAGCTGGGAAGAGAAACAAGGCAAGCAGCCCTTCCCAGCCCTCATATTAATGCATCAGGCTGCTGCAGAGCACGGATTTGTTTTGTCAAACTGTCAGCAGTGGCACCTTTATGGTTTTTTTATAAAGAGGCATTAGAATAGGAAACACCGTGTGGCTTAAAAAAAAAATAAAATAATAATTAAAGGAATATATTTGGTTTGATATTGAATAGCACTGAAAAGCTGAGCAAACAGGGGCTGCAAAGGGATGGTGGGGAGCGGGCTGGAGACGCTGCATTTTCCTCTGGGAACAGGGTGTAACACATGGATGGGGCCTCTGACTCATCCATCAATACATGTGTTTGCACACTTTTCCAAAAGCTTTTTGGCCCGAAGCTGGTTAATAGATGGAGATCTGAAACGCTGCTGAATTTTCCCAGATGGCTAATTTTTGGTCCGGAATAAAAGGCATCATTTTCCCAGTCCCCAGCTGGGGAGAGCCAGCCCCGCTCTGGAGTCACCCCGTCTGCCGAGGATGGAACTCCCGAGACAAACACGGCCCGTGAACCCACCGGGGCAGGGAGTGGCCCGAGGTGACACAAATTTGGGATGGAATCCTTTGCTGCTGAGCGAGGAGCAGAGCAAAGTTTCCCCTCACCCTCACACCGAGCCCTGCAGAGCTGGGATCGGGGGGCTGGGAGGTGCCACTTCCAAGGGAACGTTCGGAAAGGATGATGCAATATTTCATCACTGATGGCTATGTTGGAAGCGTTGCCATTTCGCTGCTCTTTGAAACGCTGCCAGGAGGGAAAATTCAGCCTCACCTTGGGGAAACGTCTCCGAGAGAGAGAGAGAGACCCGGGGCGGGAGGTGAAGCGGCACCATGGCGGAAAACATGGGGTGGGGGTGAAGGAAATAATGGAATTCTCAGGGATAAATGTATTTCACACAACAGCAGCTGCTCCAGGAGCTGCTGCAGCCTCTTTGCCTCAAGGCCAGCTGGGATTTTGTGGTTGCCCACCCGTGGAAGGAGCACAACGGGAGGTTCCACACTGCACTTCCCACCAAGCTCGTGGGTGATGGCAGGCAAGTGGGAATTCTTTGAGACCAAGGAAGCTCTGGAATTGTGACACGGTTTGGGAGACCCTCAAATCTCAGCTTGCTCCCCAGCAAGATGCAAGAAGCCTTCCAGTCTTCCAGTGCCCAAAGGGGCTCCAGGAGAGCTGGAGAGGGACTTGGGGCAAGGGATGGAGGGACAGGACACAGGGAATGGCTTCCCACTGCCAGAGGGCAGGGATAGATGGGAGATAGGGCAGGAATTCCTGGCTGTGAGGGTGGGGAGGTCCTGGCCCAGGTTGCCCAGAGAAGCTGTGGCTGCCCCTGGATCCCTGGAAGTGTGCAAGGCAGGCCGGAGCAACCTGGGCTGGTGGAAGATGTCCCACGGCAGAGGGTGGAACAGGATGAGCTTTAAGATCCCTTCCCACCCAAACCATTCCAGGATTCTACGATTGTTCCTGTCCCTGGATAACACAAACCACTCCTGCCTCGAGCTGCACTTGCACAAGAGATGAATGTGCCGGGGTGGGTTTGCTCTGTGCTCCACGGCACGTGGACAGCACCCCTGTGCTGTAGGGGCAGCTCACACCACCCCACACCAACCCCTGACCGCAGGGAAGTGCCCTGGGGATCAAACCCAAACCCCAGCCCGGCGCCGGGGCCCGTACCTGGTGATGATGGCGAGGTGGGGCGGGCTCATGCAGGCTCCCATGAAGAGCACCACGTTCTCGTGCCGCGTCTGCCGATAGGCCATCACCTCCCTCTTGAAGGCCTTCAGCTGGTCCTCATTGTCCCTCTCGATGTCGATGAGGCGGATGGCCACCTCGCCGTGCCAGCGCCCGTGGAAGACCTGCCCGAAGCGGCCCTTCCCGATGAGCTCCCCGATCTCCAGCTGCTCGAAGGGGATGTCCCACTCCTGCAGGAAGATGCTGGTCTGGCTGGCCTTGCGCGGGAAGTTGCGGGCGGAGAGGAGCGACAGGTTCATCTCCTCGAAGTCGTCCTCGGACTCCTGAGCCTCCTCGGGGCCTTCCTCATTCTGGAAGCGGGGGACAGGGGGTGGAAAAGGGTGGGAGGTGAGGAATATAACGTGGATCAAAGCCCACTGACCCACCTACTGCTTGCTCAGACCCAGAGGAACCAGGGGCCCTTTGCTTCCAAAGCCAACGTGGGGGGGGGGAGTGGGCTGCGTGCTGTGCAAAGTCGGCAGAATCCCAGATTTTCAGGGAATCACAGAATCCTTTAGGTTGGAAAAGCCCTCTGAGGCCACCAAGTTCAACCAGTAGGCCATGTCTCCAAGTTCCACACCCACAGGTCTGTTAACCCCCCCAGGGGGTGGTGACTCCCCCACGTCCCTGAGGTTTGCAGGACGGCATTTATTTACTCCACGGTTAAATATGAGGTTGTGACACATCAGAGCAGTTAATTAATCTCTCTGAAAGCTGAGTTTCCTCCCATCCTGGCACTGCCCCCCCTGGAATGGCTCTGACTTTTCCCTTCATGTTTATACTTTCTGCAGGATTCCCAACACCTTTCAAAAGCTACATCTTCCCCTCCCTCCTTCCCCTCCACCACGTTTCTAATGCATCTTAAAAAGCCTCAGTGAATGATAAACTTGAAGGCACCCACGGAGCCCGTGAGGGTCCCTCTCCATGGGGTGGGGACACGGATGCTTGGCCTTTAATTCAATTATCAGCAATTTCCCTGCACAGCTGCTCAACTTCTCCCCTTCCCGCAAAATGTGCCCCGAGATGCAGATCAGATAAAGGCCCATTAAGCACAGGAGTGAGCGTCTCACCTCCGAGGTGGGCTCCACTTCAATTTGAAGCAATGGGTTTCCTTCCAGGCTGTTGAAAGAATTACTGAATTACCACCAGGTAAAAAACCACAGGGAGGTTGGGAACACGTGGGCACTGAGGCCTGATCCCTGCAGCAGGACTCCAGGGAGCAGAGGGGAGAAGAGTCGGGGTCACTGTTAATTTGGGACCCCTTCCCACCCTCCATCCCCGGGGTGCTGCCGTGGGAGAGGGGAAGGCAGCAGGGATGATTAAAATTATCCACTCATATGGGATGCGTGATGTTGCAGGACGGGTTTGGTGATGTGGGAGCACACACAGGTCTCCATCCCACGTCCCGAGGGGAGGAGGCTCCGTTGCCACGAGCCCTGGGAGGTGTCACCCCTGGCTAAGCCGGGGACAGATTTCCACCCTCACGCGTTCTGACCACACTGGGGCTCGTGCTCGTGGCATTTTTGGGGATCTCCAAGGTCAGAATTCCAAAAGGACAACACTGATTTGCAGCCAGGAGAGAAGAAAACGAGGGTTTTTTCAATTGTTTTGGAGAAGTGGAAGTTTCAAAGACCCTCCCTGCAGCAAAAGCACCCAAATTTGATGAGTGTTCCAGCTCCCTGGGCCAGGAGCTGCTTTTTTTCCTTCTCTGTTTACTCAGCACCTCCCACCACCAGGGTCTTGCTGCATCCAACAGTTAACAGGGAATTAGGGCTGTTCTGAGTTAGGGAATTGGCTGGAGCAGCTCAGGTGCTTTCAAGCATCATATAAATATATTAATAATAATAATTATTATTATATCAATAACATAAATAACAACATCCTTTCCCAGAGACAGCAGAGCACAACACTCCCCAGGCCACTCAGAGAGGGTGATCCTGGGAGTCCTATCCCATTCTGTGGCCTCTAAAGAGCCATAAATCCCAGGGGAATCCAGCTGCCTATGCAAAAGGAGCCAATCCTGATTTTTGGAGCAGCAGGGAAAGCCCAGGGTGGCTGCAGAGCATCAGGATGGACAGGTGGTTTGCAGGAGCAGCAGCTCCTCTTTCCTGATCCCCATCCAGGGCACAAATTCCTGTCTCCTGAGTATCCCGAGTATCCAGAGCTGCTCTTTAACCCACCCTAGCCCGGGGGGATCCTCAGTGACTCTCATGGATTGTTTTCAGTGGGAGAAGGGAGAGTGGAATCACAGATTTCACATACTGAAAGTTATTTTCACCCCAAAATCCTGCCAGCCCTACACCTGCCACCCTGCTTTGGGCAAAAAAAAACTTCAGGGCTTCGACTTCACCACTTTTCCATTAATTTCCCAGGGACAGGGGCTCCATCCCTGTCCCTCCCATCCCCTCTCCCGAGGGGAGATGCCCCTGGAGACAGATCTTGTCTGTTAAACTCCTGCCTCGTAAAATCCTCCCAAAATGGCATTTAGCAAAAGGATCAGCAGGTGACCCTGCAGGGGAAGGACATCAGGCATTGCTGGATTAGAACTCAAACATGCTGGGAAGAGACAGTCCCAAGGTTGATCAGACACTGCATTTCACAGCTAATTTCAGTGCAAAAACTTGCTGGACTCGAAATTATTGGAGGTGGGGCTGCAAGAACCACCTTTCCTAAAACTGTCTCAAAGATCCTGCTCATAATTTTATTATAAATTAATTAATCACTTGGGGTGAAAGCCTTTTTTTTTTTTTTTTCTCCCAGCGAAGCGCTGTGGGTTGTAAATGAACCTTCTGTCTTCTCCTCCCAACTCTCCTCCTCACCAAGACCCAAGCCAGAGCTGTGAGCGGGGTCAGGGCAGCAGGAACACCCACCCCTAAGGCACCCCTGAGCCCCAGACGGTCCTGCAAAGCCAGGGGGGCACCCAAGGGTGCCTGGGGGATGTGGGGGGTGCGCTGCTTGGGAAAGGCAGGGAGAAGCCACTCACATGGTGTTGGAGGTGACGGGGTGGAGGACGACCTGTGGGGCTCGGGTTGGAGTCTCAGGCACCACATCTGGAGAGAGGAGAGTGGAGTGTGAGAGGGGAGTGTGGGGGGGCACCCAGGGCAACTAAAGCCCTGCTTAAAACCTCCCTTCACCCCCCCCAGGGCAGCTTTAGTTACACCCTGACCCAGTGCTGGGTGTCACTCAGGGCCACCCAACCCCGCAGCACCTTCACAGTGCACGGCCCTGCCTCAAGGTGCTGCTTGTGGGGGGCAAATCCCAGCCCAGCACAACCCCCCTGGCAAAAATGCAGGGATTTAGGGGGGCCAGCCATGCACCCACCCCTCCAGGGGACATCCCAGCACCCCACGTTATCCGGGGAGCCTTACCTGGGAAAATGAACTGCTGCTTGTACTTGTAATAATGGGAAGCTGGAAAAGAGGGAAGGGGGGGTTAAGCATCCATTTCTAGAGCTGGGGAGGCTCCAAACTATGCCCAGGAAACCTCGACCCCTGGGGGGTTGTGTGACCCCCCACCTGTGTGACCCAACCTCTCCGGAGGAAGCCACCCCTGCTGGGTGCCCATACTAAAAATTAAGACCCCTGGTTGGATTATAACTTGATTTTTGCCCCCATCAGCTGCTCTTCCACACCCTCTGGAGAGTGTTCATGTCATCTGTGAAGTCACTGGTGGGATTTGGACACTGGTTGCCAGTAAAAGGCTGTGGGGGTTGAGTGCTGGCCCTCAGCTGGTCGCTGGGAGTGGTTTGGCATCATGGAGACACCAAGTGATGGATTTTGCCGCCCATTTTACCCCAATTCAGCCCTTTTTTTTTCCCATCTTTGGAGCTGTGTCCTTCCTGGGCTCCCTGTCAAGCTCCTGGTGTGCTGAAAGTTGCTGTGGGGGCTGCTGCCCAAAGCCAGTGTTGCAGAAGGGCTCTGGGTGGTGGGACCCTCCCCTGGCTCCCCATCTCCAGTGGGCAAATCCAAGGGCAGGTTCAGCTCACGTGTGCAGGGGGGATGAAGCAAGTCAGAGCTGCTGAGGCCACCAGAGGTTGGCACCGGCTCAAAAATCACTTTCTCCTTAAGCTCCAAGACCCCAAGGACCAACCCTCACCTTCCCCTCTCCAGCTCTGAGACGCTGGAGCCCGATCTCAGCTCTGCAGCAGGGCCTGAGCACCCCTGAGCTGAGATCAAAGGAGCCCCCGAGGTAATTCCGGCAGAAAAAGGTCCCCATGTCGCAATTTCCAAACTCAAATCCTAATCCCTGGGATGACCATCTTGATGGGATGAACCATGTCCCTCCAGGGAAGATGAAAGCACAGCAAGTCCTGCTTTGTGTCAGTCTGGCTCCCATCTGGAGCAGGGAATGAGAGCAGGGAGCAAGGAACCCCAGAGCTGCCGGGGTCTGATCCTGCCCCACTCCATCCCTGCTGGCCAGGAAAACCTGCCAGGACCCCCTAAGGAGACACTGATGCCCATTTTGGGGGTTAATTCTGTTGTTTCTGCTTTAAACAACATGAAATAATGTCTCAAACAGACCCTCGGGGAGGTCTCTGCTCCAGAAGTGCCACGTGATGGGGTCACCAAATTCCAGACCCTCTTCCCTGCCCAGGGAGGGTCCAGGGCTGGCCCAGCGGGTGGATTGGGGATGCTGATCGCTCTGATCCCTGTTATCCCACTGTGGAGACCTCAGGATGCTTCACCTCCAGTTGGGCCACCACAAACAGGGTTGTTACCAGTGTGGAAACCCCCAGCATGGCCCGAGGATTTCAGGGACACTGTGGATTGTCCTCCCAGAACTTGGACGCTCCAGAGCTTTGGGGATTGTCCTCCCAAAACTTGGACACTCCAGAGCTTTGGCTGGCAAAATCCTGGCCTCCTGGGTTGGGGTGTCCTGTGCTTCCTCACAGCTCCTCCACTGTCCTCCTCAGGCCCCTCCAGACCCCCACCCGAGTCCTGGGCACTCCAGCCAGGGAGCCTCGTGCGTGGCTGCCCCCTCTCCAGGCACACCAGGACCTGGTGCTTGGTTGTTGGGGGGGTTTTCCAGGCTTTTGGAAGTGTTTGTTGTTGTGGGATGAAGTCTGCCAGTCAACTTTGTCCTCATCTCTCCTCCTCCTCCTCCTCCTCTCAAGCTCAGGGCTGGTCAGGATGAGAGGGCGGCATCACCAGGGCGCAGCAGGACCAGCAGAGCATGAAGGTGCCACCTGGCTCCTCTGGAGAAATTCTCCTGACCTCTCTTCCTACTGGACCAGTTCATTAACTGCTGGTTTGGGGGTACAGGAGGGACCCCAAACTTCTGCGCCCCAGCCCCATGGGTGCTTCAGCATCTCAGGGATGGGTCAGGGTCATGGTTTCCCCTCCTCTCCACTCTCCAGAATGTCTTTGGGAGCAGCTGGAGAGGCAGGGGGGTGGCTGAGGACAGCTGAGCCCCTCCACACCACCGGGAGTGATGCTGAGCCGCTCCCCTGCAGTGAGGGACCTTGCCTGGAGCAGCAGCACTGCCCCAAGGACATCCCAGAGGTGCACAGGCTTTGAGACTCCCTCAGCCCAGCAGGAGCTGGTTTTTTTTGTGGTCATTTAATGTAACTCCTGTGTCCTGCAGCCACCAGGACCCAACTGCCCCTCTCATCATCCCTGAAGAGCCTGAGCTCCAGGAGCCGATGGGTCCCAGGTACCCAGCCAAGCCTCGATGGGACAAGGATGTCAGACACCCCCAGCATCACCTGCCCACATGTGCTGCCAACGAGCTTTTGGGGGGCCCATCACCCCAAAGAAACAGTGAAGTCAACCCAAGGAGCCCTTGTAGAGGGATAGGACCTTGATTTCCGTTTACACTTGAGGCAACGTGCCCTGGAGGAATCCAAGCCTGGGAAGGATGTTGCAGCCTCAAGAGCAGCAGGTTGTGCCGGCTCCATCCTTGGGAGGTTTCCAAGACCCAACTGCATCAAGCCTTGGGCTCTGACCCTCCTTCCAGCCTGGGCTTTGATGGAGACTCCCGACCTGAACACCCCTCGACTCATCCCTGCTGCTCATTGCTGCTCCCACCTTTTCCCTGTCCCCCTGCAAGCCCAGACGGAGCAGATCTTCACCCTGAGGACCCCCCGGGGCGCGAGACAGACGTGGAGGTACCTGGCAGGTTGAACTGCTTCTGCTGGCGGGGGCACTGCGGGGAGGGGTGCAGGGGGGACGGGGGCGTCGCGCTGGGCGGCAGCGGCGGGGCCGGCGAGGAGGGCGTGGACGACGTGGTGGAGGAGGGGTTGCTGCTGGAATCCGGCTGGTAGGGCACGGGTATGTGGTCCTGTGGGACACAGGGCAGGAAAGAAGAGGAGAGGGGCCGGTGAGAGCGGCGGTGCCACCCCAAAGGTGCTCCAGAGCAGAGGACCCCAGTGACAAGTGACAGCTGCACCGGGTCAGAGAACCACGGAAGGTCCTGAGCTGGAAGGGACACCCAAGGAGCATCCAGCCCAGCTCCTGGCCCTGCATGGACATCCCAACAATCCCACCCTGTCCCTCAGAGCCTTGTCCAAACCCTCCTGCAGCTCTGGCAGCCTTGGGGCTGTGCCCACTGCCCTGGGGAGCCTGTTCAGTGCCAACCACCCTCTGGGGGAAGAACCTTGACCAGCTTTGCCAGGGACAATCAAATTTTGGACTTGTTTTATTTGTAACAATAAATTCCTTGTTTACTCCAGTCTCTGGTGGCAGCAGAAGCCTCAAAACACCCCAAATTCAGCTCAGACCTGGAGACTGAGAGGCCACAAAGGAGCAGGACCAGGACAGGAGGACCCAGCTGGTTTAAAAGTGCTGGTGCCATTTTATTTTTAAATTAAATAACCCCATGGGAAGCAT